CGCCGCAAGCCTGGGAGGGGAGGAGAATTAGAGCGGGGGCGGCGTGCTTGGGGAGGAGGCGGAGCAGAGGTGAGCTGGGGTGGGAAGCTGCCGCATGGCTCCCTGGGCGGGGAAGCTGCCGCGGGGAGGGCGACTCAGGGCAGAGTGGGGGGAGCTGCCGCGGGGGGAGCTGCCGCAGGGCTGGGGGTGGGGGCGGGTAGCTGCCGCAGGGCGGGGGGGGGAGGGGTGCAAGGTGGAAGTTTCGCCTAGGGTGTGAAACTTCCTTGCACTGGCCCTGCACACTATGCCCCCACTCTCACTCACATTTGAGCCCAAGCCCTGTTTCCGTCCACACACACACATCACTGTGACTCGGATCAGCAAACACTCAGGATCTAGGTCCTAGGACCTTGCGAGGGGGATGCGTCAGAGCCCAAGTCCTGCTGTGACGTGGGTCCAAGCCCTGTCATTTTGCAGTGTGGAGGCAGCTCAAGCCGCAGACAAATAGAACGTCTGTGTAGCACATTGTGGACACAGTAGCCCAGCTGTGAGACCCGGGTCCAGGTTAACAACGCAGTGTGAACACTCAAGCGCGGGCTTGGAAATACGGAGTCCACAAACCCGGGTCCCACAGATGTGGGCTTATGATGCAGTGTAGACGTAACCTAAGTGACTTAGGAATCTCAGTCCCATTTTCAAAAGTGGCGTGAGCCCTTTTTGCCAAATTATTAAAGGTATTTAGGCACCTGAATATGCAGTGAGGTGCCGAGTGGGATTTTTGAAAGCACCTAAGCACCCAATAGGAGTTTTTTTTGTGCTTTTGTGCTTTTGAAAACCCCACTAGGCATGTCCCTGCATCGGTAGGTGCCCAAAAATCTTTTAAAATCTGGCCCCCCAAGAGCCTAAATCCCGTTGTCTTTCAATGAAACATGAGCTCCTAAGTCACTTTTAGTCATTTTTGAACATTTTACCATCTATGGTTCCTCATCTGAAAAATGGGGATAAAATGATACAGCCTTTCTCCCACCCTTTGCCTATTTAGATGATAAACTTTTCAGGGCCGAGATTATCCCTTGCTTTGAAGTTGTTAGAGTTGGTTGAAACTCACAATTTCCATTCTGCGGGAAATGTTGACATTTTGAAATTTGTCTTCATTCCAAACTGGGACAAAACCAAAAACATTCCAAATTTCCGACTCAACAACATTTTTGAAAATGTTCCATTTTTGGTCAAGCCGAATGTTTCATTCCAATTTTTTTAAAAAATTCCAATTTTAAAAAAATGTGTATTATAATTTATAATGCAATACCAAATAACATAACTTTTGAAAGGAAAAATCAAAAGGTTCCATTCTGAGACGTCGGACTTTTTTTTTTAAACAAACTTTTATCGAAATCGCCACAGTTCTGTGGCCAGTTTCGATTTTCAGTTTCGCTTTGGACGAAACGGCATTTTCGAAGAGGGGACAAATGTTCCGTTGAATAATTTTCAACCAGCGCGAGTGTTTTTACAGCGCCTTGCACAATGGGTCAACAATTTCACACGGGGGCTTTTAGGTGATACCGAAATACAAATAAGTAAAAAATAACAGTAAGGTTCAAAGCAAAATCCAGACATAGGAAATGGAGAAACTAATGGCTCTTGAAAGACAAGGCAAGATTATCCAACCTGCATTGTGGGCTGCTCATTTGTGGTTTGATTGTAGGGAGAGCGTCAATATCAGTGGAAGGATTTAACTATTGGAACATTTTGCCAAGATGTTGTGTTGGATTCTCCATAACTGACAATTTTTAAATCAAGACTGGAGGTTTTTTTTTTTTTACAAGATTTGCTCTAGCCTTGTATAGACGCCGACGCTGGGGCGGGAGCTACAGGCACCAACTTTCCAATGTGCCGGGGGTGGGGAGCTCACTGCTCAGCCCCCGTCTCTGCCACAGGCCCTGCCCCCACTCCACCCCTTCCCGCCCCCTCCTCTGAGCCTGCCATGCCCTCGCTCCTTCTCCCTCCCTCCTAGAGCCTCCTGCACGCCACAAAACAGCTGATCGGGAGGCGCTGATTGGGGGGGTGAACGGACTTATAAATTAATGGAGATATCCCCTCTCCTAGAACTGAAAGGGACCTTGAAAGGTCATCGAGTCCAGCCCCCTGCCTTCACTAGCAGGGCCAAGTACTGATTTTGCCCCAGATCCCTAAGTGGCCCCCTCAAGGATTGAACTCACAACCCTGGGTTTAGCAGGCCAATGCTCAAACCACTGAGCTATCCCTAGATTGCTCAAGCGGGTGTGCTAAAAACAGCGTGTGTGGACACTGCGGCTGGGGCTCTCGAGCCGAAGGGGGCAGGCAGGCTTCAGACCCCGCGCTCCATCTCGAGCAGCCGTGCCCGTGCTATTTTTAGCCCACTAGCTTGAGCCCCGCTAAAGTGGCTGTGTCTGCTCGGGCCGGAAGGCTCACTCCCGGCTGCAGTGTAGACACATCCCCAGAGCTCTCTGGTTGCGCCGGGCAGAGAGAGGTATAGCCCTTTAAGGAGTGCAGAATGCTCTGCTGCCCCGTTTGCCCCTGCAGCACCTATGGGCTCTATCCATTCCCCCACCTCCTCCCAGCTTCATCTGGGGCAAGCAGGGGGTGCAGGCGGGGGGAGATGCAATTTGGTAACGGCCTCTTCTCTCCAGCCTGTGCAGGGAGTGCTGTTCTGAGCAGCCTCTGCAAGGTACAGACTTCTTACTCCCTTCACTCCGCCCTACACGGCTGTGTAAGATGGGCCCGGTCTGGCCCTTTAAGAGAAGGCACTGCTGTAAGGAGCTCACATTGCTGGTGTCCTGTCTGGCGCTGCTGTTTGCAAGGCTGCTATGGGGAGCATCCAGCCATGGCCCTGCTCCGGCCAGTCTGACCTGGCATTGACATGGCACTGCCGTTTGGAAGCCCGCAGCCACTCCGCTCCTACCAATCCAGCAGCAGGAATTGGCATCTCTGTGTGAGCTTACTGCAGGGATGGAGGGCGGGTACCCTGCGTGGCACCAGCATGAATCCTGCTGCATGTGTGTGTCTCTCCCCCGCCCTGTGGGAGAGGCAGCAGTTCCGTCTCAGGGTGTTCCTTCCCTTCCCGATGGAGGTATTTGGAGTAATTGAAAATACCAGCCTTGGCCAGGTATTTGGAGCAATTGAAAATGGGCTGGTCTCTGAAGGCTGCAATCGGCAGTGCCCGTCTATAACACTTGGGGCTTTCTGGGCTGCAGGGCGGGGGGGAGGTTGACAAACCCAGCTGCTGTGTCATTGCACGACGTGACAATCCATCTAGTTCAGGTGAATCACGGCATTCCTAGAAACCTTGCCCCAACCTGCCGTGATTCACCCCCGTGCCCCCAAAACTGACCTCATCCAGTTATCGGCCTGGGGTTATCTTGCCTAGTGGGGTTAGTTCTTAGTTCATTCAACGCTGTTTATTGGGCTACAGGCAGGTGCCGATCGTGTCACCAATAAACAAGCCAGCCCTACCAAGGGCCGGCTCCAGGCACCAGCCCAGCAAGCAGGTGCTTGGAGCGGCCAAGGGGAAGGGGCGGCACTTCGGGCTCTTCGGCGGCGGGTCCCTCGGTCCCTCTCGGACCCCCTGAGGTTTCATGTAAAGCTCTAATTGTCCCTGTGGGTTAAGCCCTGACTCGGGCTCTATAAGTGCTTAGCTCTCCCTCCTGGAGATGGCAGAAGCCACCATAATAAGGACAGAGGTCCAAGCAAAAATTGGTGTCTTGGGAGGCTAATTCTCTCCCTCAGGACATGTCATAGAATATCAGGGTTGGAAGGGACCTCAGGAGGGCATCTAATCCAAGCCCCTGCTCAAAGCAGGACCAATCCCCAGACAGATTTTTGCCCCAGATCCCTAAATGGCCCCCTCAAGGATTGAACTCACAACTCTGAGTTTAACAGGCCAATGCTCAAACCACTGAGCTATCCCTCTCCCCCGCCCCATGGCTGGCCCATGTCAGCTGACTCTGGTTCATGGGGCTTGGGCTATGGGGCTGTTTAATTGCTGTGTGGGCCTTCGGGCTCGGCCTGGAGCCTGGGCTCTGGGACTCCGCGAGGGGGCGGCTGGGCCAGGGGAAGGCCCCAGAAGCAGGCACCAGCCTGAGCCCAAATGTCTACACAGCAATTTTTAGCCCCACTGCCTGAGCCCGAGTCAGCTAACCTGGGCCAGCCGCCGCCATGTCACGGGTCTTTTATTCCAGCGGAAACGTACTCTAAGCTAAGAGGCTCATATTCATTAATAGACGCTGTGCCGCTCCTGTGAGGGGAGCAGAGGGCCAGGCTGCCTGGGGGAAGCCTGATTGGGCT